TGTAAGGGAAGGAAATGTGATTTATTAATCTCAACAGTTCATATAAAATATTGACAATGTAAAAGATCAGTAGTATTATATAACAAAGGTACCTAAAATCATGACAATTTCAGAAAGCTCTGTGCAGATTTACTGTTGTCAACCTATGAACTTCACTTCTTGTTCATCTCTGCAACTGAACTTGATGGACTTGATGTGAAAGAACTTTCAGTATATAAAGCACCAAAGGATGTTTATGCAAAATTTCATGCATATTTGTTTGTGGAATTTTTATGTCACATTAATGAGTATTTTAAAGTACTTTTTCAATTAATTTTGTTAGTTGCACAATATAAATATGATTGTCACTTTATGTCGCATTTAGTGATAAAATCGAAAGTCCACTATGCTTTGAAAAAGAATATATTGTGGAATTAGCATTAAAACCTTTTGCCATTGTACCTCATGCTGCTGCTGCTTGTGAGTGAATCTGGTCCTCTCTTGGGTATTTTTATGGAAAGAGACGCATTTGTTTGAAGTTAGAAAAGATTGAATGTATGCAAAAAATGGCAGCATACTATATTGCTAATTCAAAAATGGAATTACCATATTATAGTATTTTGAGAAGTGAAGAATATGTTCAAAATATATTAAAATATGCTAATTTATTTCAAGAAGATAATGATCTGGACAAGGATTCAGAAGAAAATTTTACAGAATCTTTTAGTGAACTTGATGGTGAAGATCAATTAAGCCTAGAAGATATTTCGAATCTTGATGCACCAGAAATCATTAATGACCTTGATGAAATAGTTATGTATTCTGGTGTAGATATTGCAGATGATGAAGAATTTATAAAAGAAAATTTTGATGAAAACAAAGAAAGCATGTGGGATCCTCAAACTGCAGCTGATATTTTTTCCATTGAAAAGATTAATAATAAGATTATAGTGTTATTAAATGAAAAAATTGAAATGTGATTAATAAAAAATCATTGCAAGTGTTTGTTGTATTGTTAAATTTGTATAAAATTATTTCTTTAATTTTGGCAATTTCAGAATTCATCGGACAATTCAGATTTTCAGTCATTGGGCGAAATTAATCTCACCCGATTTCAGACTGGGTGATTTGCCAATATGTATTATTCCACCCACAACTCTAGTTCATAGTTAAACAATGGGTTATTTTCCACAACAATTAAAGAAAAAATTAGTTATTACTTTATTATCATCATCATCATTATTGCCATTTATAAATTTATTTATATTTAAAAAAATAAATAAAATATCTATTTAATTAAATAAACAATATATTTTCTATATACAGTCAGACTTCCATAAATGCACCCCCCTTGGGACCAAGGGACAGTGTGCATTTATGGAGAGAAGCAATTTCATTGGTCACAAATGATACACAATATTTTAAAAACAGTAATACTAAAATAGCTATCCATTGTAGTTTGTTTTGATGAATTTATTTTTTTTATATTGATATATATTTCAATTTTATTAACCAATTTTATTTGTTTGTAGCATTATTTTTCTTGCTGTAATAAAATGAATGTACAGTTTCATGACCTTTAATGCTTCCTCAAGGCTTGATGTCATCTTCTCAAAATTGTCAGCAGGTACATTCATTTTATTTTTATATATTTCTGCAAGCTCTTTGATTATTTTATCATCATCTGGAACCTCACAGACAATAATTCATTAACCTGCATTTTATGAAGGCATTTAGTGACACAAAGTCATGAAATTGGATTGCATTACATATTGGAAATTATCCAATCAAATCAAAAAATTTGCCGATGATTTCTAAATTTATACTAGTTACACGATGAATTTTATACATTAGTCACGTGGGGTGCATTTATGGAGGGGGTTTTCATATGAGTGGGACTGAAAAAATACTGTTCAGTGCAGAGTATGGAGGGTGTGCATTTATCACTAAGTCCTGAGGTTGGGACCAAGACATAGCATGCATTTATGGAGGGTGTGTATTTATGGAGGGTGCATTTATGGAGGTCTGACTGTATAATAAAAAATAGAAATTGGATTTTAAAAAAAATGGCCCAAAAAGGAAGGTCACTAGCCAATTTTAGTAAGATATTCTGAGTATTTTATATGTTTTCTTACATATCAGTTCAAATATGATTGTCCGAGTTCCTCACACCAGTGTGTGAAATTGATTGCAGGCACGTGTATTACATAAAAAATGCGCACATTTTGTTGATTGTGATCAAAAATCTTAACAATAATTGTTGATTTGAAATAAAAATTATAATAATAATAAATTAATTTATGTATATATATATTTTTTTTCAATGAATTTTCTGCACAAAAGATTATTGGTTACCTTTAATGTAACACATATGCCCGCACTCAATTTCACACACTGTTCAGGGTTTTATATGTTACATTTAAAGTTATTTGAAATTTTTAAAAGCTAATAACTGGAATGAATAATTTTTTTAAAATTATCATTTGGGACAATCAAATGACTTCATTAGCAATATTTTTATATGCTCAATTTATCAAAATGCTAGATTGAAAACTTCTATTGCCATCATAATGACAAAAATAATAAAATGCACCTATAGTTTGAAGCAACACAAATATAATATTTCTATATCAATAATATCATCTAAATGAGAAAATGAGACCACAGCATTTTATTTGGAAACATTTTTAAAAAGCCACTAGAAAGAAAAAATAACAAGCAGCATTATATAGCTTCTTTGTAATTATTGTCAGCATGCTTTTGATGGACAACCTCTTTGCATGATTAAACATTTACTTCTTGTAATAGTGAACCAAATGAATTGAAAATTTTGTTAAAAAATAAAAGTAAAAGGAAAGATTTTGATAATGTTCATGGAAAAAATAAACAAAAAGTCACAGAAGGATTCATTGATAAGTGCTCAATTAAAGAAAAAGAAGAGCTAGACAATTATTTATCTCTAGCAATTTTTGGTAGTGTTCCCATTATTAATTGTAGAAAATCAATTTTTGTAAAAAACTACATCATGCTTATGAATTACCATCCAGAAAAACACTCACCATCAAATTGTTAAATGATAAATATAATGAAATTACTGAAAATAATAATAATCAAATTGAAAAATCAAAATATGTCTATATAACAAATGATGGCTTAATGAATCAATTATTAATTTCGTGGTTACTTAACCAAATCCACTATTTTGGAAAGCATTTGAAGATGGTGATGAAGATGAAGAAATTGACAATGACTTGGATTTTGATTATAATGACTATGATTACAATGGTGGAAATTATGATGATTATAATGATTTTGATGAAATTATTAATTTAGAAGATAGTAACAATCAAGAATGCATAACACAAGTATTATACAATTAGTATTTCTTATAAATAAAATATTCAAACCAAAATTGTTATCTTATTACATATTAGTGTATATACCACAATCAATTTCTTGTGTAATTTTTTAGTAGGGTATATACTCCTCAAATCTTTTATATACCATTCTTAGTCAGTTTGTATATGTTTAATATGTGGTGTAACTAATACCGATCATTTCTTTAAATCGAATGCCCTCTCTGTTTATTTTTTCCAGATAAGCATTCAATGTTTCCCTATTTAGCTTTAAAGTTATTTGATGAGTTGTAGTGACCCGCACCGTACAATATATTTCGGGCAAGTCAATTAGTAGCTGAACTTTTATTGGCCTTGCATATTTAATTTCTTCAAAAAAAAGGGTAACCTTCTTCCACGTTACAATTTTATGTAAACCCGAAATTGGTTACTTAATTATCAAGCGAAGCGGATCATGTGATTATCGTTAAGGTAACATAAACCACCAAATTTGCTCTCGTGGCGGAGGAAGAATTGGTCCACAAAGGGGCTTCGTTTTTTCAATCAATTTCCCAAAAAGTGTTTAAAATTTTATCTCTCATTTCATAATTATTTAATGTCTGAAAAAAAAGTAAAGTATTTTCTAAATAAATGTAATTCGTGAGATTAATATTTTGTTTAACATTCAATGTTAATATATGTATATATATATGTGTATGTAGAGAGACAATAAAATCTTCTATTCACTTCTAGCAGGATCAATTGCTGGTGGCGTAGAAGCTACAATAACAGTAAGTGGTGAATTTTGATTTAATAATCTTTACCTTTACATATCACTTTTTTAACTCGTTGTTTTTTAATTGATAGTATCCAACAGAATTTATTAAAACACAATTACAACTACAAGGTGCAACAAAGGTAATGTTAATAAATAATGAATAATAAATAATAAGAAAAGAAAGAAAGCATGTGAAAGTGGTGAAAATAAAAAGGTTGATAAATTTATCATGACTGCTTTCCTCAAAAAAAGATAACAATAATAAAATTATAAAAATTATAAAGAAATTCAAAGGACCAATTCATTGTGCAGTAACTACAGTAAAAACACAAGGATTTTTTTCACTATATAAAGGATTATCAGCCTTAGTGATAGGCACAGCAGCAAAAGCAGGAATCCGTTTTTTAACTTATGATCAACTTAAACTTTTGTTGCAAGATGATAAAGGAAACCTTACAGGACCTAAATCTATGATTGGTAAATAATTAAATCAATCACAATGTTGTTGTTGTTGTTGAATGTAAGAATTGAATTAATTGTTTCTATGGTTTTTTATTTTTATAGCTGGATTGGGAGCAGGGATGGTGGAAGCTATAACAGTTGTTACACCAACTGAAACAATAAAGTAAGATTACTACTATTGTTGTCATTGTTTAATCTTATATATATTGATTATAGGAGGAAAAAAACCAATTATTTAATTATTGATTGATTGATTTCAGAACAAAATTAATTCATGATACAAATCGTTCTATTCCACAATACAAGGGACTTGTACACGGTAGATTAAAAATTAAATTAACTAACCATTATGATTGAAATTAAAAAAATAATTTATTTATATTTTATATAAAACTACAAAAATCTCCAAATACAAGGTGTTTCGTTGATTGTAGCCAAAGAAGGAATTGGGGGAATATATAGAGGATTGTTTCCTGTAATGATGAGACAAGGAGCAAATCAAGCGGTAAGATTTTCAGTGTATTCAACTTTGAAACAAAGATTCCAAAAATATTCAACACCAGGACAACCACTACCATGGTCAGTCACATTCTTAATGGGAGCAATTGCTGGTATAATAACAGTTTATAGTACAATGCCATTAGATGTTGTTAAAACCAGAATGCAAGGATTAGATGCTACCAGTTTGTACCAAAATTCATTCCATTGTGCATGGAAAGTATTAAAAGAAGAAGGAGTATTTGCATTTTGGAAAGGTGTGACACCTAGATTGGGTAGATTATTGGTTAGTAATGTTATATTATATATAATTTAATAGTTAATGATAATTAATATTATTTATTTAATGATTTTTTTAATGTGAAATAATTAGCTTTCTGGTGGGATTATATTTACGGTGTATGAACAGGTCATGACTGGATTATATAAACTTGAAAATGTTAGAAAGAAGTGAAAAAATCTTCTGCCATTCATGTCATTAATCATGCATTTTTTTAATATGATCAAATCAGTAAGAAATTATTTAACATAGTAATTTCTTTGATGTATTAAAGAAGTAATAATATTAAAAAACTTGGTACACTAGAAGAAACCCATTATTAATATTTGTATTAGAAATTATTGAAATTTCAATAAGCATAATAATAATAATAAAGATCTTACAAGTAACCCATGTTAAATAAATTAATTTATATAATAATAATAATAGTAATAAAATATATTTTTTCTTCGCAAAAAAAGCAAAACTAGTATGATGCCTCTTATATAGTTGCAACATTACAAGATAAAATGAATATAAAGATAATAATTGATCAGGATTTTTATTAATTTAATTCAATGAAAAGATTTCTTGAACTCCTATAATTGACAAAGGTATAAATATTTAAATAATTAGCAATACAGCTAGGTGGTTGGTATCTATATATTCTTCAATAAGAAATATTTTATGTAATAAATTTAAAAAATTTAAATTCTTTCTTTTTTAACTAAAATTTTTTTATAATATCTATTTTGAATATTATATTCATCATTATCATCATCATCCTCACATAATGTTACTGTAACTGAATTAATTTCCAATGAATCCATAGAAGGTTTTTTTGTCTTAATGGCAATGTCAACCTGTAAGTCCACCATTTCAACTTGTTAACTCCTCTATTTAAAGCATTGAAAATTTGCCTTGAAAATGAAATGGATGGTAAATATTGACCACTGCTCTCTAACCCTCTATAGTCCATTTCTTTATTCTTGCCATCTCTATCAAACAATGAATAAAGAAGTGCTATACTAATTTTTATCCCTTTTCCAATTGCATTCTTACCACATAAACACATCAACCAATCATCAGCCATACCACAAACAAATGGAAACTCCAATAATCCATTCAACCATATAATTACAATAGTCTAATAGTCATGACCTTGTGGATGAAGTGGTGGTGGTATCATCTCTGATGATTTTATTGATGCTGAAGCTTCTAAAACCATTTTACCAAGAGCCCAACTCACTGCTATATTATTAATGTTATTTATACCTTGGAAAGGTGGTCCACCCGAATCAATTATCTTTAGAACGTCAATTCTCTCATGCAATAACTTACCAGCCATGCTGATTTGAAACATTGCATTTTCAATCTTATCAATTCCGTTGAAGAATTTGTAATTTCACCTTTATGATAAATTTCGACAATGTTTTTCCAATCTTTAGCACAATAGTAAATCCAAATGTGGTTGAATGTTTTGAACTTCATCCAAATCTACGTCCAAATCTGGTTTTTCTGATGATATATTGGCAATATATGGTTTACCATTATCATTAATAAATCCATTCATCAAATAATTTACAGTAATCCAACCATATGTTCCTTCCATTTCACCAGTTATGACTTGAACATGTATGTTCAAGCATGTAAAAAATCATCTTTTTATATTTGATTCCACTATATATCAAAATGCCAAGTACAAATGAAGAGGAAACGCATTGTAAAAAAAAGAAGTATTTTATTCTTTAACAAGATACCTGGTTCTACTTTTAATTACCAATTTAATCCATGCTCATCAGCATGCTGAGCCATAGGTAATACATGAAGATCTTTCTCATTTTTATCCTGCCTAACAATGTTATGTTCTTTCCAAGAATATATTTGAATTCTTGATCCAGAACTTCCTGCATCTACAACAATACTAAGTTTCTATTTAATAGTATAAATTGAGATATGTAAATATATTTCAACATTAAAGTATAGTGCAGGACACCTAATCCCTACAACTTTTATTAGTCTTGCAAATCCTTTAACTCCTCCAAAAATGGAAATGTGTGACCAAAAAAACAAGATGACATTTTAAAGCTAAGACCTTTTTCTACAAAATGACATTTTCATTTTGTTGATATGCCATGTTGTTGTGGAGGAATTAAGCCTTAAAGTTGCACAATTTTAACAAATTTACTATGTTAATCCCCCAAAGTGACGTGTTACACGCAAATTTTTTATATTAAAAATGAATGAATTGGAAGAGTTGAAAATTTTAAAATCTGTATTGCAGATCTTTTATCACGTGATACTAATAAAGAGAATGCAACGTGACAAACCTATTTTTAAAACACGTGACTGTAAAAATTTTTGATTGTGAATTTTTTCCAAATCAGTCACTGTGGTGCAGAAAGTTGTAGGGACTAGGTGTCCTGCACCATATTCAAATGTTTATTTGAATAAAACAAATAATTCGAGTAATAATAATTTGAATAAAACGAATAAAAACGAATAAAAACGAATAAAAACGAATAAAAACGAATAAAACGAATAAAACGAATAATAATTCAAATAAAAGCATATAAAAGCAAAACTTGTATTATAAATAGAAACTGTGCATTAATACTAAAATCAAAAAACAACAATAAACAAACAAACAAATAGCTTTTATTACGAAATAATTAATTTTGTTCCTTTGGTGTTAATGGTTGAATTGATCACACAAGCAGTAGTCAATTTAAACAGCGTTGTTTTTAAAGAATTTATTCAAAATATTTATTTTAAATGTATAAAGTTTATTAAAAAATTGAAATTCGATTATTTCAAAAAAAAGAAAAATTAAAATAATTTATAGGACCTAGTACTAGGCCACAAACCACACAGTCAATCCCGTTATTCCGTTTAAAATTAGTATTTGGTTTAACAAATGGGGTCTGATTCATTTCGTCGACAGTCATTTCGTCGAATGTTCATTTCGTCGAAAATTATTTCGTCACAAAAAAAACTAATTTCTCCTCACACTACCCACACACCCCGCTTTCCTCGCCTAATTTCTTAACTAACTTTCCACACTCCTCACATCTAACTCGTTCGGTCTCTGGCTTAAAGATGAAATAATTTTTGACGAAATGGGTGTCGATGAAATGATTGTCGACGAAACAATTTTCGACGAAGTAAACGCGACCGACTTGGGGATTGGGTATGAATGGTTTTTATTTTATTAAAATTATTTGTTTGGTTGGAATTGTTAGGAGTTTCAAAACGGTTTAGGAGTTTCGAACAGTTTAGGAATTCGGGAACATTTTCTAAACCAGTTTAGAATGGTTTTAATTTCAAATAATTCTAAACTAATGAGTTTCGGAAGGCAACTCTAGTTCTAATTCATTTTTTTAGTATTAGGCAGAATGATGGGGATGAAAATGAAAATGAGGAAGATGAACATGAAATATTAAATAGAAATGATGATTCAGCTGATGAATTAGGTGAATTAGAAGAGGAGGAGTCTGGTGATTCTGGAAAAGAATAGGCAAAATAAAAAAATTTCTTATTTTTTATTTATTATATAAAAATAAAAAATAATTCGAAATATATGTGTTTCTTATATTTGTTTTTCTATTTTTTTTTTGTTTTTTCATTGCAAACTCATACTGGTGCTTATATTTGAGTGGTGCTTATATTCAGAGAATACGGTAATTCGCATTTTTACATTAATGCGAGTTTGTTAACAGTTAAATAGCTTATTTGATTACCTTTAAATGTTTCTCTATCAGGACCAATTGGTAATGAATTAAATAAATTATTGATAAAAATTGAAAAATAAAAATTGTATTATAAGTAGTGAGTTGTATCCGTTGATTACCTGGATGTTTTAATGCCTGGTCAATCAATAAAATTCAACCCGGACAATCGGTCAGTCAATAAAATCCAACGCCCAGATTATCAGTTATTCGCTGAATATCTGTTGAATATCCATTGATTTAAATTTATTTAAAAAACATATAACAACAAAAAATATAACATTATACATTCATATATTTTTTTAAGAAATGCAACCCTTTCAAATAACAATGGGATTCAATTTTGTTTGTTTGGTTGACATTGTGTCTTGAGCTTCGCTAAATAGACACTCACTTGGAGTAGAAGTTGCTTGCAATACATAAGTATTTTTAGCTATAATGACACGGATCCATCTCCCAATTAATCATCTAATAGAAAGAGTGATGTTAATGGTGTAATAGTGAAGATAAAATATTATTTACATTAACAATAGAAAAATGTGGACTAATATTCTGTACTACCGATTATTCACCAATTATCTGGTAATATATAATAATAATAATGAATGGTGATATCATAGCCCGTGAAAAATATGGAAAAATAACGGTTACACGCTAAAAATTATAGGTGGGAAGCACGACAATTGTTATTAAATTTTTTTATATCAGGTATTAGATATCAATGGAAAATTTATCTTTATCCTTTATATATATAATAATAAATAATAAAATCCAATATATTCATAAATCTTTAGAAATAAAATATAAAATATAAATAAATAATTTAACATATAAATAAATAATAACGCTTATTCTTATTAAGCCTTTCTGTGCGTGCTATTCTCGTATCTTATTTTTTTTCCTCAAATTTATTGCGCCTCAACTATATCTAAGTCTTAACATATTGACAACTTGTTCCAGTTCGAAATGGTGTTGATTAATCTTCATCCTATAGTCTTTAATAATTAACATATGATGAAAAATGGCTGCAATTAAAGAATCCCTATTGTTATTTCTAGAATTGAATGAAGAAAAATTTAAATTTAAATCGCGACTATTATCTCTGCGTCTTAATATATTTACAACTTGTTCCAGTTCGAAATGGTGTTGATTAATCTTCATCCTATAGTCTTTAATAATTAACATATGATGAGAAATGGCTGCAATTAAAGAATCCTCCTCAATGTTGTTTCTAAAATTGAAAGTAGAAACATTTAAATTTGAATCGCGATTGTTATCCCAACGTCTTAACATATTGACAATTTGTTCCAATTCGAAATGATGTTGATTAATCTTCATCCTATAGTCTTTAATAATTAACATATGATGAGAAATAGCTGCAATTAAAGAATCCTCGTCATTGTTGTTTCTAGGATTGAATGAAGAAACATTTAAATTTACATCGCGATTGTCATCCCAACGTCTTAACATATTGACAATTTGTTCCAATTCAAAATGATGTTGATTAATTTTCATCCTATAGTCTTTAATAATTAACATATGATGAGAAATAGCTGCAATTAAAGAACCCTCATCATTGTTGTTTCTAGGATTGAATAAAGAAACATTTAAATTTAAATCGCGACTATTAAAATGAACATTATTAATATCGTTATTAATCGGTGGTGAAGATGATGTATTTGAGTTGCTATTAACATAAACTAATTGTAGTGGCGACAAAGATTGCGCTGCCAGCATGTTATTATTGTGTTATCATTAGTCATTTTTTGAAATGATAATGAATTGTCAAATGCAATAACTCTATGATCAATATTTTGAGTTTGCTGAGTTTCTTGAATTTGTTGTTGAAGCATTTGCTGATTTGGATTATTAATTTGTTGAATTTGACCGAAATTTTGCTGAAGATTTTGTTGCACGTGATTTTGAAGTTGTCGGTCATAATTTTGTTGTTGGAATTGTTGGCCGAGATTTTGAATTGGTTGCTGAAGTCGCTGCTGTTGAATAAGTTGCTGGACGGAATGTTCAAATTCTCCATTATCATAATAATTTTGTTGGCGTTGGGATTGTTGAGATAGTTGTTCACCAATAGTTTGTTGTTGTTGAAACATTTTTTGTTTATATATGTGAATGTGTGTGCAGTGTTTTATTTAAAAAAAAAATAAGAAAATTTTTGATAAATATCGAACTGTCAGCATTTTTATATATTTATTTTTTTTTATCGTATCAGATCTTTATGTGTAACGTATTTTAATAAAATGAAATGACCATTTGTAGTATACGTATATTATAACATTAATGTAGTAAGGTGATCGTCATTGTGGCCTTTAAAATCATTGAATATTTTTGAATATTTTATCGTTGTTGTTGTTGTTGTTTTGATCTGTCAAGTTCGCTTGGTCGCATTTAGTTCTATTAAGAGATAAATAGAGAGAGAGATAACGCAAGAAAAAATAAATATTTGTTTCTACGTAAAATATTCATGTTGAATTATTTTAATTTCCACTTTATGGGGTATTTGTGCCCCGAAAAATGTTGTTTGTTGTCCCGTGTCGTTTGTACGGTGATTGTTGTTCTATTAAGCGATAAATAGGGTGATAAATGCAGGAAAAAATAAAGAATAATAAATGTTTGTTTCTATGTGTAAAACTATTTTAATCTCCGCCTTCAATATTTATGAAATATTCTACTATTCAGTTGTTTATTAAAAAAAGTAAACATAATTTAATTATATACCTCTATGGTGCAAACGGTATAATAAATTTCACTCGACACCACCTTTCTTCAAAATTCAAAAAAAAAATTTTTCCAGGATATATTTTTCAACAAAATGGCAAAAAATCTGATTTAAAGAACCAAAAACCGGTACAAACTTGTGAATTTTTAACCCTACACTTAATAACTCCAAGTTATTATTAATAGTTAATAACCACTTATTAACTGTTGCACTCTGAGTGAGAGTTATTAATACAAAAGATCCATTTTGCCAACCAATCTCAGTGTATAGAATTCAATATAATTTTGGCAACTAATAAAGTTGATTTCGGCATTTCGGATTCGGTGTCAATCATTTATTATTATTGTTGTTGTTATTGAGCCAATTTCGGCTAACATGCTTAGTTTTAGTCACTTTTTCAAAATCAGAACCGGTTTTAAACCGAACTCAATAAAACTGGTTTTAACCAGGTACCCAGTTATAATAAAATCTCGAAACCAATTGCAATTAATCCGGTTTATAAAGTTTAATTTTCTGGGAGAGTAGTTTAATTGATGACAAAATGAGGTTTATATTATCAAACTTATTTATTTAATTGTTGTTTTCCAAGCCGAAATAGGAACCCTGGTCACAAGGCCTGATCTTATTATTAAAATAAAGGTTCATTATAAGAATTTGAAATCCATGCATCTCTTTTTTTTGTACAATGAACATTTTGTGTGAAAAAGCAAAAGGTACACTACATTTAAAAAGTCTCAAGTTGTAGAATAAAGCTTTTATAGTTCATATAGTAAATATATTGAAAATTTTATTTTTTAAATCTCATTATTTTTTGTATTAATATTTTCTGCTTCTGTAAATTGGCACCAATTTTTACAACATTTACCATAAACCTCCTGCAGGATGTGAATCAATTTAATAGATTTTGACAAAATTTTTGATTTATCAATATAATGAATAGTAATAAGAAAGACCCTGAAATATTAATAGATAGAAGGTTTGATTTTGCATATTCTTGAAAATTTATTTATGTAAAAATGCTGTTTTTAAATTTTATTCTTAATTTAGTAAACCCGACCTAATATTTTCCCATCATTGTGCAATTCATATCTTTGTTTTTTATTATAATAGCTTGTACAACAATCATTTTTGGTATATATAATTTTAAATCTGTCATCAAAGGTAACTTTTAAATTTACATTTAAAAAATTGTTTTCGTTTACAAAAACCATCAAATCCGTACAGAAAACCCCTAATATAACATGGCTAGGGTTCCTGTTGTAACTTATTGCAAAATACCGCATTGTACAAAAAGTGTCAGCAATGTTGCAATTCTTTGCGACTCTTTACAAATTGTGGGAATACTACATTTTGGACTAAGGTTCCAATTCGTCAAAATGTGGAGAGCGGGAGCTCTATTACCATATTTAAAAAGAGTAACACGGTCCGTCATCTAACATCAAGGCTCGACTCTGAATTTTTTCAAATTGTTAACAGAAATTTATATAATTAATTGACGATCCGCGAATGAAGCAGAGAATTCTTATAGTGATCGGCGTGTGCAAAAATGGTAAAAAATCGTCAG